GATGGTAAGTAAAAAGGCTGGAATGGTAATGAAATACGTTAATTTAGTAGAAAAAAATTCATGGCTGTAATTATTAGTGATTTATTTATATTTAGGTAGGTAAACAATAATTTTAGTTAGATGCGTATTCAAATTAAATAATTTGTTCTATTTTTGAGAATAAAATCAGTCATACTCAGTTATATGCAAAATAAAAAAAAACTAATAGGATTATAATTTCAAGTCTCATTAATCTTTGGAAGTAAAATCACAATATGTAAAAGAAATCAACAAGTAACTACATAACACAACTCAAAAAATCTTAAATTCGTCACTGTCATCTGAATCAAAAAAAATATTGGCATTGTTTGACTTTTTCTGATTTATTTGACTGAATAAATGCTTCGAATTGAAGAATTGGTCTGGAAATGCTTTTTGCATGAAACTACGGAATGACCCTTATACTTTTAGCAAACAGAATATAGTACTGAACTTGGTGATCCCATCCTCAAAAATACCAATCACTCGACACGTGCACACGTAGGCTGTTAGAAATTTTCCACAGTAGAGGTGGCCAACAAGTCGTTCGCAACGTTGGTACTGGGATGTCCCAGCTTTTTCTTATGTTTCAACAAAGCCGAGTACATTAATTGAAACCGTTAATTTCAAATAAAACACTCATCAACTTTACTATTTAGCGAAGATGCCGCTTGGCGGACTGTGCTGATTCAGGCGAGGGTTTGCCACTTAATATTTAGGCTTAACTTGGATTAGTAACTAGGAACAGTTATGCCACAGAATAAAATTTACGTATCGAAATTGATGAAACACCACAAACTCTTTCATTTAACAAGTGCAAGCAAATTACTTATATTTACAATTTGGTAATATTTGTGATTACACATAAATGAGAGAACTTATAGATATAAGCTTTATGTCTATTTTCAACTTTCCCATGTTAAGTATGCACTTGGAGTACATTTTTATTTATAACATAACTTATAATTTAAAGCACCCGCAGTTTATAATAACTTTATTTTTCCATTTCGAAATCCTTCAACAGTATTTTCTGAAAATAAAAACTGATATAATATTCACTAAAGTTCACCACCCCTGCCCGTGTTGTATGGTCACAGCACTCGCGTCTGTCGCCGGCGAATGTTGTTATTGTGTTAGCACTAACGTTACCGACGCTAATGGTCGAATCGAGTTACCTCCTGTTCAAGCTCGGGACAGTTCTCGTGTTATCTTAAGTGTGACACAAGCTTTACGGAAAATGTTGCTTGTATCTACATCGCGATAGCTAGCTATTGAATGATTGTCTATGGCAGTGTATGGTTATCTTTTATACATGTAGGCATTCTTTATGTTAAAAAACCTACGAGTAAGTCGGAACAGTGGCAATATACAATTACGAGGTATATGCTATCTCTTTCCGTATCATACGTTCCATATCATCTGTCACATTAACTAATACATGGAGGCTTTTTTAAAGGTGCCCAATTTTACACGTGGGGTTCAGACTCGGTATAAACGATTATATCGTTTATTGTTTACTTGTTTTCAACGCGTTATTCATTCTTAAGGCCCATTTACACGTTGCAAGTTTCTTGCCTATTATATACAATTAAATTGAAGCAATAAATGAGTTGCATTGTCTAAACAGCACATAACATTCTTGACTGATGAACAAGACTTGCTTCAAGTTTTGTTTCAAAACTTTCCTTGGTGTAAACAGCACACACAATAATTTCTTAAGCAATTCTTGTATTCAATTGCATTCTCTCTTCCTTTGCAAAAATTAGTGCAATGAGTGAGGGTATTTAATCGTTGATGTTCTTTTGAGGATAGAAATATTGAGAAAAGGTCGAAAAAAAAGTTGGATAAAAATATGAATAATAATATATGGATCATAATAAATAAATCTCAATGAAATATATTTAATCGGCATAATCTAACTTGAACACTTATTATTGAGCCATTTTTTAAAAGAACAGCCCTTTGTAAAACGTTCAATACTTGCATGAAAAATTTGTCAACGTAAATACGTGCAATACTTGAAGCAACATGCCAATAAATTGTACACGCACGTACAAGCATGTGTTTAGACAAGTCAAAACTTGAAAGCAATAATCGCCTAAACATAATTGCATTGGTGTAAACAAGACATTTGCAATTATTTCTTGTCAAGACTTGCATTCAATAATCGCATTCAATTTTTTTTACTATATCTGCGTGTAAACTGTTGCTTACAATTCTTGATGGTCAATTATTGCGTGCAATTTATTGCATTCAATTATTGCTCTTGTATGTACAAGAAAATGGCATCGTGTAAATGGGCCTTTAGATACCTAAATTTTACTGTTCTCGCACACAAACGAACTTGTGTGCGTGTTAGTTATGAATGATCGCGCGTAAAATAAATGAGTTGCGTATAAATCACGCTCTTTTTGAATATCATTCATTAGATAATTACGAGCGATTTAAAATATTTATCATTCTTTATATAACCTTATTTTTGTCTAAAAAAAAGTCTGAAAAAAAGTAAGAACTCTTATATATATAAACTTTCCTTTTAAATCGCTCTATCTAGTAAAAAAATGCATCAAGATAGTAGTTATAAAGATCTAAGCATACATAGGGACAGACAGACATCGGGACGACTTTATTTTATACTATGTAGTGATGATGCACAGCAAAGAGACGTTTAAATTTTATGTGACATTTTACCACAGGAAATTTACATTTTACCACAGAAAATTTACATTTTACCATAGAAAATTTGTTTTTGAGTTGAAATTTTACCATCGTATAAATATTGAAAAATATTGACATTAATATTTATACGATACTATCGTCAGTCAAGTATTTGCCTACCCGGGACCCCTCTACTAACACTTAAACTTTATGGTATGGTATTAAAGTTCAAATTGACTTTTAAGTATTATTACGAATCTTTTGTATGGGAATATAGAAAAGCGTTGTTTTTAGACTTTTTCAGGCAATTTTTTAAATTTTCTCTCCGTAAGAACCATCCTCGTACTTCAACAAATATTATAAAAAAAGAATTAGTGAAATCAGTTCAGCTGTACTCGCGATTTGTGCTCAGCGACACATTCAGCGATTAATTTTTATATACAGAGATAATACATGTGATGCATGTCAGATTCCTTGTTGTTAATCATTAATGATCGCCCAAGATAGAAGGGCGTTTTACAGTGCCTACAAAAATATGAAGTGTGCTAGAAAAATGCCGATCATATTTCGTAGCAGTACTTTACGAAACTTTGTCTAAAAAGCCTCTCTGTATATGTCATATAATGTAAACGGAACAATTTTTTAATGCCGCGCAATACGGGCAAGCGTCATAATAATAAACAAACTAATAATAGAACATCATCGAATCGGAATGATCTCTGCTATTTAGATTAGGACTATTTAGATTTTAGGGTGTTTCACAGATCATTAACATAACGAATAAAAGCGTAAGAACTTTCATCGTAGCTTTTAAAACTCATGTTGTAAGAAGCAAATTTGATCGAACGGATCATAAACTAATGGTGAAATCCTAGTGCCTAAATACGTGAAACTTTTAATTACTGATTTGACCTAAGAATAGTCCATATGGCCGTCAATGTTTTCGCATGTTTATTAAAAACATTCATACGCAAATACACGTGCTACATCCATAACGCCATAAAATCACTGTTGTATAGGTATTATTATATTCTTCATTAGCATTTAAATGGCGGGCCTTATTTTTTCAACATGGCCGCTTGATTGGCTTTCGCACGTCAAAATTTTTAAAATAAAATATTTTTATTTATTCATCGCAAGCAACTTTTTAAAAAGGCCGTTTTTAAATATGTAACGAATGCAAAGAGAAATATAATTGTAATCCTATCGCATTTTCAATATATTTTAAATATTTTAAAATAAATTGCAACATAGGTAACAAAAAACGTGAAATAGGTTTATTTTAATAACATCTCATTATAAGGAAAAAATCATTAGAAAAGAATTATACGCGATAATTATAAACCAGGGGTGCAGATAAATTAACTTTTTTTAAACACTAATTGTTAAAAATTAAAGTTACGGATGCGGTGCGATGGTTTTTTTCCATGCTAACGAGAGAGAAAATAGTGCCGAACTAAAAATTGTACTATACAATATACAGCGTGTCGTTACCATCGCGACAATAAATGAACACACATCTAACGCTACTTGCCAATAATCATAAAAAATATTAACGTTAAACAAAATCCATAATTAAAAAAAAATATTTTTCAAACAAACTAATTAAGTAAAAAAGAAACTAAATTTGTAACATCCTATACAACTCGCGCCACAGCGTCGTATTATAAGTCTCTCCTTCTAACAGCATGTTTTGTCTCTTTTAAATTCATTCAACCCATTCATATGCTTTGTGACCTTTACAAATGGACTTTACGTTACGCTTTTATAGGTAAGGGTGTTCTAAAATTATTTGTTTTGGAAAATTGTATAACTCTGTAAATATAGATGTTTAAAGAATTTAAAATTTTAATGCAACTTTAAAAAGTTATCCCCTATATGTGTGTTCATTTATTGTCGCGATGGTAATGACACGCTGTATGTAGAAAAGTAAGTACTCCAGTAAAACACTCCTTCATTACTGGCAATGTCAATCACATAAAGATCTGGAATCAAATAGATTCATGGAGTATAGATTGTCACCAAAAAATTGTGCCAATTTAATACTACAAGTTTGCAATGTAAGAAAAGAAAGGTATATACTTTTATATGCAAAACTATTTCTTTCCGCGTATTGTAACGAAATTTTAACGATCCACGAAAAAAGATTACAGTACAAACACATAAAACGGCGGTTCGTTTTTGTATGTGTGTGCGTGTGTGTTTTTTTAGCATTATTTTCATTAAGATCTTTTCATCGGATTTTCGCATGTGCTTCTATTTTATCGCAAATCGCTTATCGGCCCCCGAAATGTTCGGGACCCGAAAATAGACTGGCCTACTTAACCGCGGTAACCGCTGTTTCTGCCAATGCGGACGCGCCCTAACGCGTCGGGGGGTGGTACGGGGGGGTGGTTCCGGGTGGCCACCCCTCGTCGGGGCCCACCCTGTGCGTGTAGGCAGCCCGAGCTCTCGCTGTTGTTATATTTAGACCTGTTTCGGGCGATCTCTCGATCGGATTTATCGCCTAGGTTACCGCGATCGGGGAAAGGTTGCCCCGGTGATGTCCTCGAAAACCGACCGTTTCTTGGAAATGTTATATTCTCCATATGAGAGCAACGTTTCCAATTTCTTTGTATTTGATCAGGTAAATGAGGTATAATGAATTTTGTGTACTTTCACAAACAATTATATATTTTGTAGATATTTTCGATGTAACACACGCCGTATGCTCCGAGTAAGAGAGAAAACCTCATGACGTCTGAATTTTGTGTAAAGAAACCACTAGATGGAGCTACGAGCTACCCAATTCCGTTGAGTAAATCGATAGATGGCGTAAGCGTCACATTTGTCTTCGAAGAGAATTGAACTTCATAAACAATCAGCACTAGGCGATAGGATGGAGAGACATTCGGAAAAGATGGATGTGAAAAACTAACGAGATTCATTTCCCTGAAAGTTAAAAATAAAGCCGGCCGCTTTTTTGTCGAGTTTCATTTTGTTAGACGAAGCTTCACGTCGTTATCGCATCCCTTTCTATACTTTTTTGTGTATTTTCTGTCCCTCGTATGTTGGAACATTCGCACATTATCTTAGTTTGTAACGAGACTTTATTTAAACCCTTCCCTTTGTGAAATAAGCCGTGAACTTTATACGTAGCATACAAGGCAAGCAATGTCATTTTAATTCTAACCAGTAACGTTATAAAAACTACTAAGTACTAAATAATTTAATTAGTTTCAATACTATTTGGAGCTCCTGACTTTTGTAGTAACGGATCTGCGATTTAATTTACAGGTCTTACTAATCCAATTGGATATTGTTCTATTCAACTATGCTTATTGTGTTGTATCTACATTTAACGTATATTTATTTAAAAAAACTCCTTCATTTCTAAGGTCAGCAAAAAATAGAAGTTTTGTTGTAGATACGAGCGTCATTTATACACTTAAATGATTCAAACATATGTAATCACCCGTTTTTATTAAAAGTAACCAAACCGACGCTTTTTCGTAACACAGGAACTAACTAATCCCGAATCTCACCAGCCTGTCTCTTACAACGGACGCAAATGAGATATAGACTGGCACGCAATAAATCGACACGCGGAAAACGGAAAACTGACTGGTGCACGCTACTGGGTTCGAACTGAAGACAACCACCCTCGGACAACAACTTGACATCTACTATGTATAAGAGTCCTAATTCGGCCGTCCTGTATCACGCCTTCGTCCTCGAACGGCGTTGTAGTCTGGTGCAAGTAACCTTCATACAATTAACACCTTACCCTGTGGCTTATCTCGCAACTGGGATGCATATCGACACGTTCAAAACACCTTAACCTTAATTTAAAACAGCCTACGTTAGTAACTATGTAGCAAATGTTGGCTTCGCACAGCCCACGGCTGAAATTTAAAACATCTACCCACAACGAAACATCCTTTGAAAGCCGAGTCGTCAAAGTGACTCCAATAACGATACAACAATGACGTAATCGCTTGCGAAGTATAAATATAAATATAATAAGCCTTCGCGCCGCTTCACTCGGCTCCTTGGCCCTGAAGGATTTCACGGGGTAGTTATCTCGTTAAAGTCATGACGTTGACTCCGATGACTCGGAAATTGTCAGCACGCGCAACGGAGTGTTTCGTGTAATACTAACGCCCAGTTTCTCTTACCACTTCGCCCGGTTTCTGTCACACTGATCATCATAGATGTTAACTAATCAGCTGTCAGCAGCAAATGGATTTTCATTTGAGCTCGTCTTTCCGACCATTAAGAAGACCATTCTTATCAAAACAGAGAGTTTACCCATTTTTTACGATTATCACGCCCGGTTTCTGAAACACTAGTCATCGTAGAAGTTAACTAATCAGCTGTCAAATGGCTTGTCAAATGTCATTTTAGTTGCCAAAAGGATAGCCAAATGTCGTTTGAGTTGTCAATAAGTGTAAGAGTTTATTCTTTGTATTCATAATTTCTGATAGTGTGTTCAGTGTTTGAGAAACCGGGTGTTAGTTTACTAAACGGATATACCTGACTGTACATTGCTGCGTATATGATTTCTATCTACTTCATATGTCGGACATAATTATGATGTTGATGTGTCTCTTCTTCAGATAAAAGATGATAGTTCTAGTTTCGCAACGGTTATTATCGAGATGTCACCAAAATGCCCACAATCGATTCAGAACTCGTGTTATCAAGCCTTTCGGAATCATACCTTTAGAAAATAAAATATGTATTTGTCAGGTCGGTTCTGGACAGGTCTAAATCAGTGAACTTTTGATAGATTTTTGAGTGACTTTTGAGCGTGCGTAGAATAAAATATTTTCGAGTTTAATATTAAAATATGTTATTTTACTGTAGAACAAAGCCGCAGTTATCAGGAGGCACTGGAACATTCTCATTTACAGACGTTTCATCGTAAATTTAATTTATATTATATTAAAAGTATATAGTACAGGGTGCCCTCTAGAGATAACGGGTCGCCAATGTAAAATTACGGTAGTCAATGTAAAATTATTTATAATTACACGAATGTCAAATAAAATTACATTTATATTTTTTATTTAACTATTTTGTCTTCTTAAATTGTGTACCCGAGCTAAATCCGCATCTCTGGAAGCTGTTAAGGGATAATCCGACGTTGTCTTAAGACGTTTTCCTTGTCTACCGACCAAGTGAGACGTACCACCTATATACAAATTAAAGTTTACGGGGAAGTTAAACTTAAAGGGTACCAAGCACGTTTCGCCAAACTAAGTTCCGAAATGAAATTTATACTACTCGCACTGCCACCTCACCTGTACTTTATTTTCTTAACAAAGTACACGGCGACCTCGATGCGTTAAGTGCACATACATATTGGCCGACGTTCTCGGACACGATAACTAGCAATTGTTTTTGCTCACTGTAACTGGGATGCTTATTTATTGACCTCCACTTAATGGCAACACCACCACACCCGAGTTGTCATTTCCGCTTCCAAGCTTTGAGATACACACCCCAGTTTTCTCATTCGCCAGATGAAATTCAAAACTAAAACACTTCCACGTCACGTCCGTCCTCTGATGTCGTGGTATTTACCTGGACGAGTCTGCCACAGCAACCGTTTTTGCAACAGCAGAAACTGTAACCGTTTCACGAAAAACCAACACTTCCAAAATTGTGTTAATACAACTGCTATTGGGCTAGTTTAGTAGTTTAGTTGCCAACTATACTTTATAATATAGTATTTTACTTTATTTTTTGTAAAGATACTTTATAATTTTGCATAAAAATGTGAAAATACTCTATTTTCAATATTTACTGTGATGCATAAAATAAAACAATTACAATGTATGTACGTATATCAATAATTACTGAACCTATGATTTATCAAAAAAATATTTTTTTCTTCCAAATACTTTATTTTTCTCTACTTACGCTACTATATTCTCTGCTTAATATTCTCGAAGAACCCACGTTCTCGGTGCCGGCACCAATGAAATTGATACTTACAATTGAAAATGTTAACTTATCACGTGCTCAGCGGCTAGGCCAAATAGCCTAGTCCAAACTAATTTGTCCTAAGCCCGGTAGGATAATCCGCTAGGACTAGTTTAGGCTAGGCTAAACTAGTTGATCCTGATATATAAATACGCACACTCTAGAATAAACTGGTATGGTCTAAACTGTTTAAGCAAAGAAAGTAATTGAGCAAACATGTCATGTATATTTTCGAGATAATAAAGAAAATGTAGGTAAGACATTTGAAGTCCGCCAATCCGCAATGGGGTCGCGTGGTGTCACCTAATACACTGTATGTAGAGGAAGCCTTTGCCTAGCAGTGGGAATTATATAGGCCATTGTTTACTTCGTGTGGAAACGCTTTCTTCGGATGAACAATGACGTCACCTACCACCCCCAAGAATGTACGCCTCGTCAAACTCGCGGCACCAATTCCATCGGCAGTTCTAATCGCGACGTTAATATTCATCAATCGACCTTAAAGTAAATCCGTCGATAAATATCAAATATGCGTTTCTAATATTCCATCCATGTAGAAGGAGCGAGGCGCCCCGTTTAGCTGTCAGAACTCATTATTATATTTGCCCAAGTCGAAGGCCATGAATTATTCATTATGGAACACGCTCTTACACGTCTGAGCGGATTAGAAAATGGCCTTGCTTTAATTCGCATTTAATATATAAACGTGTTATCTTCGCTAGGAATACGCGACATGGACACACTTTTTAGTGAATTGTTTTTATAAATGAAAGTAATTTTACGGATTTATCGCGTTTATTTTTAGTTTTAATTCCCGACGTTTCGAACCCTTTACTGCGTTCATGGTCACGAGACAGACTGAGGTGTTAGACGTCTGATAGTTAACCCGCGCTACCGTCAGTTTTTGAATTATTAATTTTGTGTCCGATCTATGCAGAGGGAGCTGATTGTATCTTGTGTTGCAGTAGTGGTTCGTTTGGGCCTAGATTTAATATTATTGATGACAGGATCCCAAGCTGATGGTTGATGATGAATTGTTCTTATGTGAAGATGGGCAAGCGAGCTGGCGATTGATCTGATGTTAAATGAAAACCACCGCCTATTTACACTTGCGACACCCGTACGGTTGCAGATGCATTGTCAACTTAATACCCCGGTTGCACACCGGAGGAAACGGAGCAGTGTAACACGTCCACTTCACTCCGCTCTTCTGTGAGTTCTTGATTCAGCGTTTTCCCACTTTATAAATAATTAAAACAATAGCATTTAAGATAGTTAAATACCTAGTGTTTATTATATTTATAACTATTAAATGATAACACACTCTGGTAATGAATTGATCGCACCAGGCTCTTTCAATCTGAGTTCTTATATTGTATTTGTAATGAATTCATGTCAAACTGCTTATTTAAAAAAAATTAAAAAAAAAAAAGCCCGCTGAGTTTCTTTCGCCGGTTTTTCTCAGCACAGTGACTTTCTTTTCCGAACCGGTGGTAGTGTTTTGACTATCAATAAGCGAGTGTAATGCTCTTATGTTGAAAAAAGACATTTGATTTTGAAAAAAACAAACTGAATTAATATCAATAAATTGTGTTTCGTTAAATATTCTTCATCAGAA